AAAAAAAAAAGGGGGGGGGGGGGGCAAAAAAATGGGGAGAGAATAATGATGCGAGAAAAACACAGCAGTGGATCCCTGGTCCACCCACACTGCTTAGCACAGCTCAGCTGCAGTGCACTTTTGTCATGTCTTAGTTCACAGCCACATTCAAATGCATGAATCTTTCATCTTCGACAGCACTCTCACTGAGGAGTCTGCGAAGACCGTTTTGTTCCCTTGAACATATCAGCTAATAGAAAACAGGAATGCATTTCTGATGCCTCCTTACGCGCACGCACAGAAACAGCACTTAATTATTTGCTCTAAACCTGAGGAGCGCCCGGTGGCCAATCAGCCATGTCCCCTCCCTCAGTGACTGACGGTGTGTTTGTGCGCTCGCTATATGTAGGATTTTGCTGAGACATGGAGTAAGAATGGCAACTCTGGCGCAGCGTTTCCTCACAGAAGTCAATACCTTGTCAACATCTTTATGCAGCGTGTCAACAAGTTTTGCTGTCAGTGCAGTTGAAAGCTCGAGTGACAGCATGGTGACTGCCACCTACGGAGTTTTAGTTGGGTTTTTCAAGATAGCTACAGCTTTAAGTGAAAATTTTATTTTCTTTTATATTTTTTACAAGTTTGCTTAAATTAAATGGGTGCTGCTCCAGTCCTGATTCATTTTCAGTGCTGACACATTGGTACCTAAAAAAAGTGGGACACTAATTTTTTTAGTGGATAGGACAAACTGTGGGAACACTAACAAGGCTATGACTCAGTCAACTTTGCAGATACAGTATTGAGTTATAAATTGGTGGGATAGCAGCTCAGAGTCATCCCCAACACATTTTTCAAGGGCTAATAAACCTTTCTACAAACTTTGATATTAACTTTTGAAGTCAAACCTGTCAAGGATCTCTTATAACTAAACTTAGCACAGACAGAGTTATCACCAACACATTCCCTTCTTACTTCATGACACTATTACTTAAAACTTCATTTCTGTTTGTTAAGATAAGATAGATAAGATGCGACCGGCGGTACAGTCATTCAGTTACTTTTAAGTCCTTGATTTGTTGTCTTTAATTATTTGTTTTCTCCATAATTTTACAAGAGACTTGGCTTGAATCTTTTGTGGAATGTCCTTAAGAAAATAAAGGGAATAAATTCCCCTCTGGATAAAAAACTAAGGAGAACATGCGGTAGCCTTCAGTCCAAAAGCCAAACTCTCTGTTCTAGAAATAAAAGACTGCATGCTCCCAGAGTGTTTCCAACATATGCTTGTGCTTCATTTCGCCACACTTTTTTTATAGCCAGAGCTATTAAAAGCCCCTAATTCCCCACGCCAAGAGTCATCAGGCTCCCCTGTCCCATTTCAAAAATGGTATCTCCATTTGGACCGGTGTATGTAGTGCCAAGGTGAAATGTTTTTTTTTTCATTGTCTCCCAGTGCTGTGGAATGGTTCGGCTGACCTTATCAGCCATGCAGACCTCATATATAAAATAAAGCAATGTCATTTTTTCATTAATGCCATTCAGCACGACTGCTGTGAGAGGGCTCTCTTGTCGACAAACATCTGCAGCAACACGCCACCTTCTGCACCATCGTCAGGCCCATATGACGGAGCAATGCGTATACACCATAAGCACAAGCGCAGACTCAACTGGCTGGTTTTAGAGCTTGCACAAATACAGATTTGACATTTTATTAAAGGCATAGAATTCATTGAAGTAATGTTCTGAACGGGCTTAAAATGTGTTTGAAACTAAGATAACCTTATGTTGAGAAATGATGGTCATTTTGCTGTTGTGCACACTAGTACACAATAAAAGTTCTGTAAATTTGACTAAGTCACAACCATTTTGGGCTGGCTATGGTGGGTTAGGTGGGGCCAACTCCAAAAGTTAATCTGTATAGCTGGATATTTATTGTTATTTTCCTCAGAGTCCAATTAAAAGTGATTCACGTTCCTGTGGTTGAGCACTGCTAACAATTACTGAGCTCTACATGGTATTTCCTGCATAGAAACATGTTTCAATACGTCCGCTATTAAACAATGAAAAGTATGTGTACGACTAACTAAATGTGAAATAAATAATACAGAAATACTATTAAAAGTAAAAGTAAGAGTTTTACTCACTGTTGAGTTGTGTTGAGTAGCTGCCTTGAATTTTTAACTCTCCCACTTTCCGACAGGGAATTCCCACTCCAGGGGTGTCTCAGTGTATAGTCATGACTTGTAAGTGGGAAATTCCCACTTACCAGTGCAACTAGGCCATGGCAAAAGTAGCTAGTGAAAATGCAGCTATCTACTTTAGAACCCTGTGCACCTCTGCCTAGTAGTGACATGATGTCATTTTGCGGGTAAAAATAATCAACATGCATTATGGGAGATGTAGTTATTCGGCTATTCAACTAAATTTCTCAGGGGGGCACAGTTAAGCCAAAAGCTTAGGGGCCAGACAAGTGTTATCTTTCAGCCTTTGAATTTGTTTATTTTGTGAAACTGAATCATGAATTAAAAGGTTACAATTTATATGAAATATTATTTATTTATTTATTTATTTATTTATTTATTTATTTATTTATTTATTTATTTATTTGTTTGTTTGTTTGTTTGTTTGTTTGTTTGTTTGTTTGTTTGTTTGTTTGTTTGTTTGTTCATTTATTGACTACATCCAATGATGATTATGTTTTTTTGAAAATCTGTTCATTAGTTAATGAGCTATTTAGCCAATGAACAGACAAACAGACACATGCCAAAACATTATCACCAGCCATTGAAAAACACAAACTGGGCTTTAAAATGCATTTATTCTTTGCATGTTCAGGTCTCCTCACTGAACTAATTAGTGAAAATTTTTCAGGACTTCTGCTTCTGCTGCACACTGGGAGCAGATGGGGACCATATGATGCTTTGGCTGACCTGTTTATCCTCCTCGTGTCTCCCGTTGTTGACCACTGCATGACTGAAAAGCTTTGGTTTTGGGCAGCAGAGGTGTGCTTTTATCTTCCCATAGCAGTTCGCTGCTGATTCATGAACAGCGCTGAGAGTCCACATGACTAACTGTGTTTTGAATGTGACAACCCAATCTTTTAGCTGTTATTGTGCAGCTGCAGTGAATGTACGGGAGAAAAAGAAGTAAGCAAGTTTTTTTTTTTTTTTATTGATCAAGAGGAAGCTCACTGATCAAATACTTCTCTCATCCATTGTTATTAAAGTACAGCTCCAATTCAGAAGATGTTGGGATGCTGTGGAAAATATAAATAAAACTGAATGCAATGGTTTTGCAAATTGTCATAAACACATATTTTATTCACAGAGGAGTCTAATAAACACGCAAAATGCTTCAACATAAAATTTGACCCTTTTTTCTGACAAAATAAGTTGTTTTTTATATTTTTGTAGCAGCAACACATCTCATAAATGTTGAAATGAGGCAATGTTTATCACTGTAAAGCAGCTCCTCTCCTTTTAACGACAGTCTGCAAACGTCAAGGAACTGACGAGAGCAGCTGCTGGGGTTTTTGGAGGTGAATGTTGTCCCATTCTTGTCTGATGTCAACCCATTCTCACTCCCGAGTCGTCACATATTGGCGTTTTTCAAAGGTCCCTTTGCATCCAATTTTGACGCATCAGGTACCCCCCTTGCGTCATATTTTGACGGGATGGGGCGGAATCTGTTGTCGTAATTTTTCAAAGTGTAGAAAATGCACAAATACTACCGTCCCAAAGCGTGAAATTACGTGTATTCACTTTAGACATCCTGTCCCAGACCCTAGTACCTAAARTTAACCATTAACCCTGATACGTAAAATTAACAATTTTTAGAAAATGTAGGAAATTCATGGCAACTACGTGTTGCAAAGCCTAAAATTACCTAATGTTCACTGTAGACATCCTATCCCTGACCCCAGTCCCTAAACTTAACCATTTATCCTGATCCCTAATGWTAACCTCAGACCCCCGACCCAAAGACCCCTGGTGGCGCAACCCGGAAAAGCCGCGGGCGGCAAGGACTGACGCGAGGGGGGTACCTGATGCGTCAAAATTGGACGCAAAGGGACCTTTGAAAAACGTCAATATGTGACGACTCGGGAGTGAGAATGTGTTGCTGATGYAGGTTCTACCTCCTTGACAGGTCTTCCTGGATTGATGGCATAAATTGTGCTAAAACCACCATCCACTTTTCTGCATTAATAGTGCTTTTCCAGATGTGTCAGCTGACAAAACATAGCCCCTAATGCACCYCCATACCATCAGAGAGGCAGGCTTTTAAACTGTGCACTGAWAACAGGCTGGATAGTCCCTCTCCTTCTTTAGTACAAATGGCTTGGTGTTCACGATTTCCTAAAAGAGTTTCAGATTTTGATTCAACCGTTTTAAATGAGCTTTGGCCCAGAGAAGACGGCAGCGTTTCAGGATGGTGTTCACATATGGCTTCTTGYTTGCATGAAAGAGCTTTAACCTCTAAAATGCTATTTTTATCCTCAGTCCACTTACTGACCTGCTACCAGTTAAACTAATTAGTTACAAATTGCTCCTACAGCTGTTTCTTATTTGTACTACTTACATCTACAGCTTTTTGACTCTGTCAAAATGATAGTTTTTACCTGATTTCTTAACTAAAACGTTGATGTTCTGTTAATAAAAAGTGGATTTATTAGACTTGCAAATCACTGCATTCTGTTTTTAGTTATATTTTACACAACATACTAAATGTTCAGGATTGGGGTTGTAAAAATACGTTAAAAAAAGAAAAAAAAAGTAGCCACAGTGCTCCAGTAAAGGTCAGACTTCTTCACTGAGTGGTTCAATTAAAGGAGCTGTTGTTTCCTCTCACCCTAGCTTCTGAAACTTTTCTGTTGTTTGATTGGTCGGTATTTTCTCTTTCTTTTTCTTTTAATTTTATTGTTTTTGTTTGTTTGTTCTCTGTGCAGGTAGCGCCGGCACCTCTGTTGTGTTTAACAAGAACGGCGATGCTCCGGGACGCTATGACCTGTTCCAGATCCAGATGACTAACTCCTCTACCCCGGAATATAAGGTGGTGGGACAGTGGGTGGAGAGCCTTCAGCTCAGGGTGAGACGATTCACTGACACCTCTCTCCAAATGTTTAGATAAAAAAAACATTGCTGATTTTATACCTAAGATTCTACCGATCATTTACTCTCAAATTCATGTCTTTAGATGCAAAAGAACTYGTTTAAAATTTAGTCAGCAGATGAATGCTATGCCTTTAATTTAGGTTTTATAGAAGAGGAGACAAAAACATGAGTAAAAACTAATTTGTAAAAAAAGGGCAGAGTTGTATTTTTGGAGGCTACGTTCTGATGTGTTTTGACAACTAAAGAAAACCTGGACACGGCTGCATCAGATGGGCCTCAGTAAGAGAAGTTCAACACTAAAAAGCAGAAGGAAKGGAGCAGCAGCAAGACTTCTTTGTGTTACTGGATTTCATTATGCTTACACTGCATCTGTCAAAGAACCGACAGCACCGAGTGCAGGGAGGAGAATAGACGTGTTTTCAACCCTGGTGTGACTCCACACGTTATATGTTCAGTTTTTGGCAGCAAAGAATCTTCTGAAGAAGGTGACGCTGTTGGAAACTGATGCCTGGATTTTTACACATATCTTCCACAGCTGATAGGAGTTTTTGTCTGGCTTTACTGTACATGATGGGTCTATGATCACATTTCTGCAAAGCGTACRAATCTTAAGTTGATTGGACGCTCTGAAAAATGTGGATCTTTAAAGCAAAAATAAATGTATTGTTAGTTCACTCACAACCTGAAAAATTCATCATGAAATTGCTTTTTATTGTTATGGAAGCACTGAATTACATGCATCTCTATACAGAACTACAGGTTTTAAAGCTGCATAGGAGCAGCATGTTGATTTATAGGAACTATAAATGACATTGTTGCAATTAATTTGAAAATTATGACTTAAATTTGCCTACATTAATGGAATTGGGAATATTCTGTTCATTTTAAAAGCCGACGAGCTAAATAAACAAATTAAATGTGACATTTCTCAAGAGAACTCATGGATACAGCCTCTCCTGTATGCAGTAATTAAAGTCTAATAAGTGGGATTTGATGGCACAGGTGGAAAAATTACAAAAACATTTGATAGCGAAAGGTTTAAGTTTGTTCAGTAATGTGTGAAGAGCCATCTGTCTGAAACATGGCTCCGCTCTGAGCAGCTTAGGACTTCTCTACGAGCATCAAAATAAGTTCACYGTGACAGTGTTTTAGCTCGYAGAAACCTGAATTAACTTTTTAAATTAACAGCTAAAGCAAAACCCGGGAGAAAACTACAAGTCTGACGTGTCAAAAAAAAAGTATAAATAAACTGCTTCTGGTCTCCATAGCAGCAGAGCTGTTGGTCTCATTACTGTATCCACACTGTGTGCAATCGGGAGGATTTCCAGAGAGCACCAGTCATTGTCCAAATAACAAACGACACCTTCATGCTCCCTGATAAATGACAGATGATAATCTACACAGACAGTGCAGAAATAACACATCCGTCATACAGATACACAAACACAGACGCACACACATGCACACACACACATACATGTGTATCCAGTATCTTTAATTATCGGCCACATACGGACAAGGAGTTTTATCATCTTGAAGAATTCATGTTTTATTAATAGTTTATGTCTTTGAGTGTAACAACAGGCGTATTTTTCTGTTTTTCTACTTTAATTATTTATTAAAGTTTATTTTAAAAATGAGAAAAGTTTTTTTTTAATGATACCTCAGAAACAGCTGCAAATCTGTCTGGTCAAATAAGATAATTTTATCTTTCCAGAAAAAATAGCCTTTGGATAATTATAAATAAAAACAAACCTTTTCTTTNAATCTGTCTGGTCAAATGAGATAATTTTATCTTTCCAGAAAATTAGCTTTTGGATAATTATAAATAAAAACAAACCTTTTCTTTTCACCAAAATTAGTAAGTATTAATTTTAAACTCCATCTGATGAGTAAATCTATAAAAGCTGTGTAACAATCTTACAGTAACCTCACATTTTATAGTGTTCKCAGCTCATTGTCATGACATTTGTTCCAAAAGAACTTAGGTATAAAAATAATAAAATAAAATGCTGCCAGTTTAGGTCTCAGCAGAACACGGTGACATCCTYTGTGAAGGCATCACTTGTGCAAAAATGACACTTTTTACTTTTTGAACACAAGATGATGGCAACGGGGATTATAAAAGTTTTTTTTTTAAGTCTGAGAGTCATTTTTAARTTTAACGAGCCATGTCAGTGATTTCAGGAAAAGATTTTGACTTTTAGAAATCAGTTGTTTGTGACAGTGCTGTTTGATTGTCAAATTCCTTGAATTCTTTAAGTACACACTGATGTGCTTTCCTTTAAACTTATTTGTTTTAGTTCTATTTAATCTTTTTTTTTTTGTATCGTTCAAGTTGTCTACCCTTGAAGTAATTTATTTTATATTGTTTACATTTTAAAAGAAAAACTCATCTCTGGGGCCAGCCTCTGCACAGAAATATGAAAAAAGTTTAATAGAAYAACAAGCCTGAGAACTCACTGTTCTTCTTGGTGTAATAAACCTGTTTATTAAAAAGACAGTCTGGTTGTTTTTGAAGTGATGTTCTGTTGAATAGTTATTAATTATCAGCTGTGATATCAGTCTCTGAACACAGAGTATGTAGCAAAAGGCAAATTATTTTCCTCCAGGCTGAAGTCTAGCCAAACCAGGAACTATTTATTGTTGTTTTGTGCAAAAATATATATTTTTCTCAAAAACAATATACCAGTGTGGAAAAAACACTGTATTAATTATTATTATTATTATTATTATTATTATTATTATTATTATTATTATTATTATTATTATTATTATTAAAACTCTACCCTTATGCATGACACCATTTGTTTGGTATATTGTTGTTTTTCAACTGAACAATATCCATCCCACAAAGCAAAATTTGCATGGCCCAGCACTGGCCCATCATGCACTAAACACTTGAACACTCAACCTTTGGTGGCGTCTGATGTGGTTTGCCAGACGTGGTCCATGCATGATCTAGCACYACATAAACCAAACCACAACAGGRCCAGTTACAGCATACCATCTYAAAAACAGTGCTATCATTGCCAGATMTGGCCCACACCTGTCTGCTATGTGGGATGTTTCTACGAACAATGACTGAGCATAGATAGRCCATGTATATGCAGAGTACTGGGGCTACATCAGTCCACCAGGAGTGAAGTAAACTTTTTGACCTACTTAAYGCARTGATCAGACAGACTGACACTTTTGCAGCTTCARCAAAAAATGGCCCTTATTTGACTAGCCATTAGCTTACAACCTGGATGAAGACTTTTGCCTCTTTCTTTATGCTCTGTGGTCTATGATTGATATCACAGCTAAGAAATCTATATTTATAACTACTTCACAGAATATAGCTAATAATTTGTTTCTTTAAAAACCAATTTAAGGGCCACACTGGTGGCAACTAAACTTATCTTTTRGCAGTGGGAGAAATGGATGAACTGAAGTGTTCTGCAGAATGAACCYAAAGTTCATAGTTGCTGCAGCTACTCAAACATGATGTCACAGTTTTTTCTGTCAATAACAAGTATTTAGAAATAGAAATTCTACAGGAAATAATCCAGTTTATATGGAGGACATTGTAAGTAAAAGGTCAAAAAACGTTACTTCCTGTGATTCAGACCAGCTCTGAATGTGGTCTGTGTGATCCTCAAAATTTTGGCATTTACACTTCAAAGTGTYAACTTGTTATTGATCTCCAAAGATTCATGTTAATGACAGAAGTAAAACCRGTCCTCAGTGTGTTGAAGATCAAGTCATTTATTCTGGTATCATGTCACTCACTGTTGATCTTTCATGCAGCTGTGAAACCAAAATGATGAAGCTTTGATCTCCTGGTGTTTTAAGCCAAAGTTCAGTGCACCTTCAAAAACTAAATCAAAAGATCCGCTCAGAGKTTTTGTGAATTTTTGCCTCCCCAAAAAAATATGGAAATCCACCTTTTCACATCTTTCTAGTCTGACTTGTATGTTCAAACAAGAACAGCTTTAGCTTGATTCATAAAATGCCTCAGGGCCTTTTTGGACTTTAACACAGCTTTATGGTGCTTCTGTATACTTCGCTTTTTTTTCTTTTCTTTTTTTCATGACAGGATCATAAACTCGAAATGGGCCTGCAAAGTCGAATGGTCACGTTTTGCGAACCCAAATCTCATTTTCCCTTCTTCTCATCGCGTATTTCATACCTCACTGGCTGCTGTATTAAAACCTAATGTCTTTTGCAATTCACATTTATTTTTATTTCACTGAACAAAAGTAGTCTCTGTTGCYATGGTGATTTTAATTATTTTCCAAGTATTGAAAAACAGTCCCTTTAAGGCATTGGCAAGAAAGATGCTGAACTGTAATGCGTTAATCATTCCTTTCTGCTGTAGGAAGTTTATATGTTGTGTTTGTACAACAAGTTGACATCCTGTTTGGATACCTCTTGCTTATGTCACAGTCGCTGACTCCTCTTCCTGTCACATCTCTCCCAGCTGGAGGAGCTTCAGTGGCCAGATGGTGAGCAGGAGGTGCCCATCTCGGTGTGTAGTCTACCCTGCAAAACTGGGGAGCGGAAGAAGAAAGTAAAGGGCATGCCATGCTGCTGGCACTGCGAGCTGTGTGATGGCTACCAGTACCAGTACGACGAGACTTCCTGCAGGTTATGTGCTTACGACAAGAGGCCCAATTCTAACAGAACAGCCTGCCAGCTCATCCCAATCATCAAGCTGGAGTGGCACTCACCTTGGGCAGTCATCCCYGTTTTCCTGGCCATGCTCGGAATCATCGCCACCATCTTCGTGATGGCAACGTTCGTGCGCTACAATGACACACCAATAGTGAGGGCGTCTGGCCGAGAGCTGAGCTACGTGCTGCTGACCGGCATCTTCCTCTGCTACATCATCACCTTCCTCATGATTGCTAAGCCTGACGTGGCCGTCTGTGCGTTCAGGAGGATCTTTCTGGGCCTGGGCATGTGCATCAGCTACGCTGCCCTGCTCACCAAGACCAATCGGATCTATAGGATCTTTGAGCAGGGCAAGCAGACGGTCACRGCCCCTCGCTTCATCAGTCCCACATCCCAGATTGCCATCACTTCGAGTTTAATCTCTGTGCAGCTGCTAGGGGTGCTGGTGTGGTTTGCCGTCGACCCGCCAAACACTATCATTGACTACGATGAGCAAAGAACCAGAAACCCCATATTGGCCCGCGGAGTGCTGAAGTGCGACATCACRGACCTCCAAATCATTTGTTCGCTGGGCTACAGCATCCTGTTGATGGTGACCTGYACCATATACGCCATCAAGACAAGGGATGTACCAGAAGATTTCAACGAAGCCAAGCCCATTGGCTTCACCATGTACACCACCTGCATAGTGTGGCTGGCTTTCATCCCAATTTTCTTTGGCACAGCCCAGTCGGCGGAGAAGGTGAGTCATTTCTTTCACTCGTGCGCTCTCACTCTGTCACCACCCTGCTCTTTGTCTGTCTCTCTCCTTCCTTTCACAAGTGTTCCTTTCAGTTCCACTGCCCTGGGTTTATCTTGTCCAAACACATGCACAAGCACAAAACGAAAGCACCCACAATGCACACACAGAACACAGACACATGTCCAGTGGCTTTGATATGTGATGAATGTGGATGGCTCTGACCAGAACCTGCTGTGGGTGCTTGACATTAAGAAACAGGAACRTAAAGATGGAGGAGTAGTTCAGGTGCCATGAGCATAACGCTCACGCACARCGCACTCTACGTGTTCTATGATTGCTTTTTCTCCAGAGAGAGCAGACATGTCATCGGAGGTGGAGGCAGGGGGGGTGACAAAGACCAGGAGGAGACGGGATGGGTGGGGAAATTGGGTGGAGTGGGGTAAACATACTCCATCTCTTGACAACTGCACTCAACAAAGCATTTGACATTGTGCGCTGCTGGAGTTGATTGAGAGAATGACACTCTGACCTTCGGTGATAGTCGCCGCTGATCGGGTCGGCGCTGAGGAGAATACAGATGCATTCATCTGTTTGAGTCACGTGCTGCTTTGCAGGCCTGTGTGTACATGACTGAGCTGAGGGGGAAGTTTTCTACTGACAGAATGTCAATGCTGACAGGAAAGTGTTACTCCTAACCTTTTGAGAGACACGCCGTTCGATATTCCTTCCTGATAAKCTCTCGCATGAGATAGATCAGAAACTGATTTTCCTCATCTCAATTTGCAGCTGATTTCATAGATGAATTACACCCTCAGCMGCGATTAGGAGTTCATTATGGTACTTGCAGCAACTAGCGAATCAGTAATGTGTTTATCTTTCTGCTTTATGCGGGTAACTCTTTCTTCACACCGGATTTGGCCTTCCTGCACTTGTCTTGGTTCACACCACAGCATCGGAGTGGAACGTCTTCTGTGGGTGCATTTCTGCTTAATCCCCAGCCACGGTTAGTGAGAAGTGCCTCGGCATGTCTCGGTAACCACGGCTTTTTAAAGAAGTTGAGGTCATTTGAGGGCATCTTACTGGTCATTTCAATYAATTTAAAGTTAAATATTCAGCATGCATGCATCTGTTTAAGCAGGATACACAGGCACCCACACTGCCAAAGCTTTCTTCTTCTTAAAGAAAGAAGTAATTAACAGATTAGATTGACAGCGAGTGCATTTGTTCTTGTATACTGTATATCTCCATTTATCAWCTATCAGATGCTAAACGTGCATTCRRTTGTAGCCTTGTTTTGTGAAAATCTGTCCTGAGTTGTGTTCTCATGYGCAGATGTGGATCCACGCCCACTCAGATGTGAGTAATCTCTCTCACATCTAATATCAAGTGATTTCTAACACTGAGAACACTCCATCCCAGCTGCCACCRATAGCTCCRMAATTTCATCTGCTCCTGTTCGACCTAACCTTGTCTCGCAGCAGCAGTTGTAACCATGCTGAGTGTATTGTTTCTTAAACTCAACACTATTTAGATATCCTTGTTTTCCACACCTGTGACTTTCTTCCCCCCTTCCTCCGGTTTGCCCTTTAAGACTCGTATTGAGAGGAGTCATGCGAAAAGCAGAGGCGAAAGATCACGTAGCATTCCCTCTGCMTCCGTGCACCTGCTGGTGCTGGGTTGGTTATTCAGGTTTGTGATTGTGAGAGTCACCTGCCTCCACATTCAACCATCGACAGTTCTGGACTTCAACTAGAACAACTGTTCTAACAGGCTTTGAAATTATAACYACACAATCGAAATGCAATTATTCTAACTAGCTTTAACAACTTGAGGGAAATGTTTTATTRTTATTATTTTCTGCTGTATTAAAGATGCTTATGTCAGTGTTATGAAGAACAGTCAGGAAAAAATCAAACAAAATTTGTATGTATTTTATTTTCTCATTTCTATGGATAATGTCTTTTCAAACAACAGAGCTGCTACTGTGCATTTTTTTATAAATAAAAACAACAGAAGCGACTGAAAATAGGTCATGTTGATGTCCATGTAGAGGCCATTTAGGGTAGAGAAGTTGGACAATTTTGATGAACCGATAAGGTTTATTCCCAGATTTGTTCAGCAGATAAGATTTGTTTACACTGAGCATGGACTCCCATTTCAGACTATCTGGAAAACTGCTGGAGTAAACGCTTTAAACTTTAAAACTGCACAATTTAATATAGTTCACTATCATTTGTTTTCAACTTAAGCTTTCAGTCAGTAATATTAAAAACTGCAACTTGTAATCAWCTTGTTTTTTCTGCAAAAACATTCCATTTAACCCAAGCTGGACTTGACACTTATTGAGGAAATGTCAAGTCTTTTAAAAYAAACATGTGAAATTCCCATATTATTTGTTTTATGCATGAAACCCTGAGTGAACTGCACTAATTGCAGACTGCCAGCAAAAAAATAAAAAAAAGCTAGAACTGGTCAAGTATAATGTAGAGAAATAAAGGTTAGTCTGACTTTTTTTTCACCTGAGCCCATCAGTGACATCAGTTATACAGCACTCTGAGCTGCAAAGCTGAAATTGTGATGACCCCACAGTTTTGTTGCTGTACCAACTGTAAAAACTGGAAGGCAGGAAAAAGCAACATTTCTTGGTCTGATGCAAATCTGTGTCCTAAGAAAATWCTGTGAAATGTTGAATTTTAAAATGTAAACTTTCAATTGAAATGTCCATGTTGTACATATAACATATAATGAAATTATTCACCACACTGTGTGGATGGCATATGAGATRCACCTGGGGAAGTATGCTAATGTTATCCAGTCTGAGAGTGTGTWATGTGCCTCTAATTTTATTTGGGAATCAAGCAGCCTGAAACTGATATTGTTTGATAAAATTAATTGATTATCAAGAAAGCTGCTATAAAAGTATTTCTCTATGTTATCTGGCGCTGGTTATTTTTAGTGGATTGGTAGTTTGGAGGGATTTGTGCTTCTACAGTGGCGTAAAGTCTCAACTACAAAAAGACAGTCAGTGTGAAAAGGTTTTATTTTGACTTTTAAATTGTTAGCCAGTCYTCCCAAAACCTTATTTTGATCATCRCTGCCCCTAATGTCCTGGTGACTCCTAACTGATTAGGATCAAATATTGGGGGRGAAAGTTTTTTTTCTTTTGCTCCTAGTAGTAAAAATGAAACCAAAATTTATTTTCACTGGGGTATTTTATTCTCAGTCTATAACATTTGATAAAGATACATTTAATTAAGAGGATAGTTCAGGTCTTATGAAGTTGAGGTCTGTGGAAATGCTGTGGGCAATTAATATATTACCTGTTCCAGACAGCCATTTAAACATTTACATTGCAGTCAATTTTAATTTACATTCTAAATCACGTACAATTTTATGTATACTTGCAATATTTGTAAGCACAAAAAGCCAAAGCGGAGCTAGCTCTAGCAATCCTGATATAGACTGGCACCATTTTCATAATAACTGCAATGAAAAATTTAGGGTAATGCAGTGGTTTTCAATTAGTTTCCATCATGCCCACAACTTAAATTTTTTTCATACCCCCACTCCTCGAACTAAAATACTTTTGAAAACCAGGTGTTGTTTATTTATTTATCTGTACAAACCACTATGACTTTCTGGCACCAGAATTATTTAAATTCAACTGATAATTGAAGGGCAAACACTTTGCATTATGCAAAAGAACACGTGTTATTATCTTTTACCTTTTAAAGGTTGTTTATTTTGCTGCACTGAATCACTGATTAGAAATTTAAAATTGATTCAAAATCTATTTCTATATTTACTGAAAATTTTAAAAATATATATTTTAGTCAAGATATGTGAGGCATCCTGATTTCTGTGATGCTCCTTCAAGGCTAATGCATTTTTACACTTTTTAAAACTGTTTAAATTTTTTGTTTTTGTTTTAAATTAATCTCCCTGGTTTTTCTATCCTCATGGACACTTTGCATTCACTTCCATTCATTTTCCAGTCATTTTTATAGCCCAACTCTTATACTTTATCCTTAACCTAGCCAACCCAGTACATATACCTGACCCTAAATGGGCAGCTGTGGCAGAGTGGTTAGGTTGTTTTCTCAGTTGGTGTGTCCTTGGGCAAGACACTTCACCTCTAATGCCTCTGATGTGTGTCCCATCGGTGTATGAATGTGATTGGCACTGATCAGTCTCCATAGATGATTGTATGTTAGCTTTGTAGAGACCTAATAGAGTGCTGTGTRAATGGGTAAATGATTGTAGTGTAAAGCACTTTGAGTGTTCTGGATGGATAGAAAAGCGCTATATAAGTACAGTCCATTTACCATTTACCATATCTAAATCTAGTATAAACTCATATCTCACCTTGGTCCTGAACTTAACCCAAAATCAGCATCCGTACCTGTGGGGATCAGGCTTTGGTCCCCATGAAGAGCACTGGGTCTCCACAAGGCAGTGTTTTTCTGGGAAATGGTCCCCATGGTGTAGTAAATATGCATCCACACACACGCACCTCAAGCTGCATCCCTTTATTTGAGAAGCACTTGGATAAAGGAAAAGTTAGCAAAATTTAATTCAGATGAAACATTGTGAAATATTTAAGAGCAAGCATTTTCAGGATGACAACAACCTACTTTAGTTTTGAGCTGTCAGCTCACCAATCTGGCTAAACTATTTTTTCTCCAAACTAAACTAATTCAAAGTGATAACTGCAACAAGATATATAAGAAATTATACATTGATAATTTTCCCCAAAACTTTACTTCAAAAGATCTGAAATATCCTCTTAATTAGACTACCCTAAAGGCTTATCTGCACAGCCCCCCCC